GTGTGTGTGTGTATGTAAGTGTGTGTCTGTGTCTGTGTGGCTGTGTAAGTGTGTGTGTGTGTGGCTGTGTAAGTGTGTGTGTGTGTGTGTGTGTGTAAGTGTGTGTGTGTGGCTGTGTAAGTGTGTGTGTGTGTGTGTGTAAGTGTGTGTGTGTGTAAGTGTGTGTGTGTGTGTAAGTGTCTATACATTTCAATGTCAGTGCAGGAGCACAAATGTCAGAGGGACAGTAATTCACCATGGAAGCACCGCTGGGAAGGGTCCAGGTCGGGGCGTGTAAGGGTGGGGGTGTCTAAAGGGTGGGGGCTTGATCTAATTACGGCTGCTGACCCGCACGCCGTCACCGCGGCGATGATGCAGGACCTTGACCTGAGCTCCCGCTCCTGTGTTTCTAGTCAATAAGCACTTTCGGCCCCAGACGTGGACACTGCCCCCCCCCCCCAACTCCGCGATCTGTCATTGACGGCTTTCGCCACACTGATGAACCACTGTAGGGCATGTGCACACTGCTGTGCTATTAGCGAGCAGTGATGCATCACTGAGGATCCCCCACCATGAAAGCAGGAAGGGGTGACGGTAAATGGCATCGTGGCGTCCCTCACAGATGCAGACACATCGCAACTGAGCCCTACAGGTGACAACGGCTTGCTAGACAGCCTAGTCAGGTTTTGCCCCCCCCCCCCCAACCCCCACCCCACATACTGTGTCCCCTTACCACAGTCTGCACCATGATCTCAGCAAAAGCGCGTCTCTATGGCTAAGCCGATCTGCTCAGCTGGAGGGGCGACGTTCAAGGTTACTCCTCGTCACCATGGTTACAGCCCAGATTTTACACTTTGCAGAAGTCATTCACCACGGCCCGGGTTGACCCACTTATAAATGTCAAGACACTGCAGAATAAAGACATCGTGAGACGAAAGATTAGTTCAGAGCTGTGGAAACAGCAGTGACTCCAGGCGTGTTGTATGACGGATCCTGGCCATCCGCAGCTGGTAAGATATACTGATTGACTCATCCAGTGTTAGGGGTGCTATTCCTGCAACAGGTTGTTGCTACGCTAGGTGTATTCTATTTTACTAACCAATTTAACAGTACCTACCATTGCTCTACCCTTCATGTAGGGTTTGATGAAGCTGCACCTCCTAGTGGTAAAGTTGAAACATTGCAGGTTTAATCTTATCCAGGCAGATATGGCAGAGAGATTCTCGGACTCCTCTCCCAATTCCTCTTTGACTGCTCCAAATAAACAGGGTCTTTCCACACAGCAGCATCTCTTTCTGACGTCTGCTACCCCAGCAGTAGCTGGTCGACCTAAGATATAACACATTTCAGATGATACCACCTGGAATTAGGGCCAATTGCAGGTGGGGGGGCGTAACAGGGGGCATAATTTATATGGAGAAGCTAACCTTATTGTTAGCCAATGATATGTTTTGAGTTGGTGAGTGACAGGAGAGGGGGCACCTCCTGGAGCCAATCAGCTTTCAGCCATGGCCTGTGAACCTGAAATCCTGGTTTATCTGCATAGCTAATGATCTTTATCAATGGCTAATTGATTACAGTTTTCACTCCTACTACAAGCTGGGCATTTTAAGTAAGTAGTATTAATACTCTAACTGTGGGGTAACAGTAGGCGTCTGTCCTGGGACTTAGACCTTTTTGGTCCAGAGTCCAGGCTCAAATCATATTGCTGCCTGAGGGCTAAAACTCTTTTCCGTGCACAATCAGTGAGGCAAAGCATAATGACGGTGGCTATTAGCGCAGATACTCAGCCTTCCAGGTGGCAGTACAAATGAACGTTTGATGTCACAGGGCTGGAAGGTACCGGCTGATTCCAGGAGAAAAGCGAAGGGCGCCGCGTTAGGGCCACTGAGTCATAAATAAATGAGCGAGCGGAGTGAGTGAGGGCCACAGCTGGCCAGGAAAGCAGCAGCGGACTGGGGGCCTGTCACACGAGCGGGGACACCTACATGAGGATGCAGGCGGAATACAAGGAGCGAGTCTCAGCAGTGACAGGACTCGTGAGTCCTGCCAAATCTCAGCACAGTGCCTATATACCTCTAATATCCGATCACAACGCCCTGACTACAGATTACACACACCTTATTACCGTTACAAGCTACTTTACATTTCTTTATTAATTCTCTTTGGGTATTTAGCAAAAGCGACATACATTTGTTGAGCGTGGAAGTTCACACGTTAATGTATTATTACAGGATACACAGATTGCGTGCGCGGAGATGTCAAGGCTAACACGACGGCCCCCTCATGCGGAATCGAGCCCGCGACTGCGAGACGCCACATTGCGACTCGCGAAAGGAGCCGAGACGTGCTGCATTGGGACACGGACGCCTTTCCCCGGCCGCGTCTCCCGTTAGAAGAGGTGACAACATGACAGCGTAAGCGGCAGGACAAATCTGACAGCCGGGCCCAAGATTTTCGGGGAGTTGGGGGCAGGGCGGGTCACAGTGAGAACCTGGGGGGGTACTGGGGGGGTAGCAGGCAGATCTTTTAAAATCTTTTTCTGGGGATGGCTAATTGATAAGCCCGCTCTCATTTGTAGACGCGGTCTCCAGGGGGCAACGTCACGCTCCACAGCTCATACGGCACGGCGGACAGGACTTTCCAGACATTGCCCTCTACCAAGCCAGGTCTTGGAGCCCAGTCACGAAGGTGGCAGGCGCTGTCACGTTCTCACTCCCCGCCTCCTCGCTTACTTTAATTGGCCGTCTCTGTCCAGGCTGTGACAGGATCTCATCCTCACGGTGCCTCGTGTAGCATGGCGAGCCAACGCTGCTCTCGTGTCGCCCAATCACGGTACAGCGGCAGCTCAGATGAAAGCTGTTGCTGGATAATTAAATGGACCCCTTATTCTGAGCCTCTACGCTTACAGCACCAGACCCATTATGGTGGGACGTTGTGTGAGGTTGGGTATGACAGCAGGATAGTGGGATTCTGTTATCCCAGAGCACTCTGGGAAGAAAAATATCCAATAAATGTAATGCAGCTGCACATGGATTCTGTCAGGGTTGCCGACCTGCTCCAGGAGCAGACATGGAGAGCAGAGGGAATGAATCAAGGGATGGACTGCGGGATTGAGTTTTCTCAGTACTCATCCATCCATCAATCCACTCATCCATCCATCCTTTTATCCACTACTGGTTTATGAAGAGTCTGGAGCCTATCCCAGGATGAATAAAGCAAGAAAACATCCTGGATGGGATACCAGTCCATCAGAGGGCACAAAAACACAGACTATGGCATATTTACAGAATCCTTCTCTCCCATCTGTAGGCCCCCACCTGTGAGGTAATGCCTCTGTCCTTGTAGCTGTCCTGCTTTTTGCCTGTTTCTGCTCAAATGCAGCAATATCTGACCATGAGAACCAATGTTTCGTTACGGTATTCGTCCCTTTTTGCGCCGGTGGGTTTAATTAATTCCCAGTGTAATTAAACTGTGTGCTGACATTTTGCTTCACCTCGTACGGAGCGCGTTTTCGATGGCGGGTTGTAATGATGTCACCACTGGTTTCCCCACACGGCTGAGCCGGTAATGGCACACGCTGTTAAGACGCGGACCTGGAAAGGTCACAGAACATTGCTTGTGCGGAGGCTGTTTAAAGATCAAGCCCGTATTTTACACACGAGGCCAATGG